GCAAGTATAGTACACTTCATTATATTATCAGGACTAAGGACATACAGTAAAAAAATCAAATTTGGAGAAATAGAATTATATAAAATGTTTTTAAATGATAAGCTAAATTCATAAAAAGATTTTAAATTTAGAAATTTATGGAATGTTCATTTGATAGAGTAGTTTTCTGGTAATAAGGGTTTTGCAGCTCTGCAATGAAGTTCTGATTTGAGAAGCTAATAAAAATGTATAAACAAATGCGTACTCAGCATGACCTAAGAGCCTCTCAAACCATCATCCGATTAGCATGTCATGTTTGTTTTGGTTATTACTTACACAGTTGTTAATCTTTTTGTTTAAATACAGACTGTATAATGCTGCAAATAAAATAATGTTTGTAATAGTACAATAGTATTAACGAAAATATAATAATTATGCTCAAATCATTTATCGTATTATAAATGACATACTGGTTTATCCTCTTTAAATATGGTTGAATAATAAATGTTTACATGTGCAATGACTATTAAACCATGATGAGATTAGCATGTCATGTTTGTTTTATATTTGATTGTAGAGCCATATTGCTGACTATGATTGTAGAGCCATATTGCTGACTATGATTGTGTATTATGCCTACATCAACTTTATGCCTAACCATGGTCTCACATGTTATTGTAAATAAACTATCGTGTACGGTTTTAAGAATGACTATTTAAAAGGTCATCATAAAAACAATCATAACTATAAATCTACATATTTTTATACAACTGTATAATTAATTCTGCAAATGAAATAATGTTTATAATACAATAATAATAACGAAATATAATAATTATACTCAAAATCATTTTATCATTTTTTTAACTGACATACTGGTTTATCCTCTTTAAATATGGTTGAATAATTAATGTTTTTTATAAATACATTAATCTATCTGATGATAGTTGTACATGTGCAATGACTATTTAAACCATGATCAGATTAGCATGTCATGTTTGTTTTATTTTATTGCAGAACCATATTGCTGGCTATCATGTGTTATTATGTCTACATCAATATTTCTAAAACATACTATGTTGTATGGCTTACATTTGGATATGACTTTTTGAAAGGCTGTCGTAAAAACAATCGTAATAATACATCCACATTTTTAGAGACCTTTGTTACTTAATAGATTCTAATATTTTAATACAGAAATTTGACTTATGAAAATTTGATTTAAATATTAACAATTAATACATTAATTAACATTAATACATAGGAAAGACTTTTCAAAAATTTGACTGACAAGAATTTTCAACTTAATAATTGCAAATAAAATATAATCGATCTATTTTCAGTAGTTAAAATTATTAATTTTTACTATTATTATACACATATTACAAATTGAATAATAATTACAATTATATAACAAAATATAATAATTAGCATAATTCATTTATCATGACTGACAAATTGGTTGTTATTCTTAAATATGGTTGAATAAAGCTTTGTTCAGAACTGTTGTATGCCCATATATAGTCATGATGTGATTAAATATGGGCATGGTGTGATGTCATCAAGACCATATTTGGGCATGTCACATGTTTTTGTCAAATAAAATTTGATATTCTGGACAATAATAATATAATGTTTTAAATATTGTAAACTATCTGATAGTTGTAGATGCTCATTGACTATTTAAAAGGTCAAGGCATAAAATAAACAATCTTACTTTATCTACTGTATTTCGAACCCCCGGGGTTCGAAACTCTCCTGGTAGGTTCCAACACAACTGCAATGATTACTAGCTGCAATATTATGGAATATTAATATAATTTAATTTAATAATTTAATTTGGTGTTGGGTATGTGTTTGACCCAATGACCGGGGTAGTTGTGAAGCGCTTAGAGGCTTTCTGCATGAAGCGCTTTATAAGAACGACGACATATTATTGTTATTATTATACAGTTTTAATATGGTATGCAAAATTGTACATAGTTTCACTAATTTGCAGTTGTTGATCTTTTGTAAAAATAAGAAAAAAAAACAAAAGAAAATTATACATAAGGCCCTATAAAAAAAGAATTATTAGTTAATATATTATCCTATCTAGGCTGAAAAAGTGATGAGGAAAGGAAACTTTTTATTTTTATTTTTTATTTTGCTAAAGTCACCGTTGGGTTGTTTGCTGGTGCATTGATATGCAAAGTAAAACATGATTGAGATAATACAAACAATATACTAACTATTTACTAAAAAACAAAATGAAGGGAAAAAAAGTAGAAATAGAAGGCATGCATGCGAAGGTGATAAACTAATCATTTTTTTTATTGGGCCTTAAATCCTTGTGCTGAGCTGTGGTTAAAATGCTTTTCTCCTTTTCTGAGTGTTCTGGGTTCAAATCCAGTCGCATTATTATGAAAAAAAAAACAAACTATAATAAATATAATAATTAATGTGATAGATTTAGTGAATAATTAATTATAAATAAAAAATCATTATTATAATTAGCTTTATTAAATTGTGAATATAAATGAATATTAAGAAATATTAGTAATGAATATGTATGAATAATGCATCCAATAGAAATTAAGTATAACTTCGATTGGATACAGAGTAATGTGTCAGTATATATCTTGGGGTCCTGTGTTAAAATCCTGCTACATCATAATGAATAAAAACAAAATATCATTATAAATAATATAGTTTCAATAACCTAAATTATTAATTATAAATAAATATTAATACCAATAATGAACATGATTATGAATAATTCATGTTCAAAAGAAATTAAATGAAATTTTGATTGGATACAGTACTAGTAATGTTCCAGTACATAAAGAATGATTGCAAACAAATTGAGTTGATTCTACAGTAATTGCATCAGCATCATCAATCACAGAGATGCCATCATGCCAAATTACTAATCATATGACCTTTTTCAAGCTGAACAAGAATAAGCAGCACATAGCATACATAAACAACCGCAAGGGCATAATAATGCAGTGATAACAGAACAATTGATTATCTTTAGTTATTCTATAATCTTAGTAATGCGAGTATATGCAGGACCTAGAAAAAGAAATTCTCCCTCTCCCCCCCCCCCCCCCCCCCCCCCCCGACCTCGAAAATTGTCTCAATAGATTAGAATTCCTCTGGCCTCATATCTGTACACAACATTTAACCCAACGCTGGTGCTCTGGAGGGAGCAAAAATAAAATGTTTATTTTTTTTTTTTTTTAATTAACCCTAAAGTACACAATTACAACACTGGTGCTCTGGAGGGAGCAAAAATAAAATGTTTATTTTTTTTTTTTTTTAATTAACCCTAAAGTACACAATTATTCCCCCAGTACTAAAAGTAGCTCAACCGTTGTTGCCTGTAGGGGGTAAAAATAGAAACAAAAAATAAATATCCGGGGACATGAGCATTGGCCTCAACTGCTAGTCATATCACACACTGTTTCTAGCCCTATAGCCACATTTTTGAAGACGTTGAAATACTGTAGTTTGGAAAAAATCTCATATCATTATCATAGAAAAAATCTCATATCATTATCATAGAAAATATTATCGCAGTGAGTCACATACAGTATGTTGTAAATAGTTTATAATGATAATAAAGAAATAATGAGCCTAATTTCCTTTTCCAAAAAATAAGGATGATTCTGAAAACTTGCGACTATCATTGATCATCCATTTTTGTGTCTGTGCCCCCTGGGGGGCAAAGACACTATGTTATGATCTGGCAGTTAAAGATGCCGCAAAGAGTGAATCCGGTAGAGGTGCATGATGGGTCTTGTGTCATCTTAAATACTTATTACTGTACAAAAGTCATTAAAAAAAAATGCAACATCACACATTTCCTGAAAAACGAAACCCATGTGGATACTTTATTAGTAAAACATAATACAGGAGGGCATACACATGCGCTCCCGCTGAGAGCCTATTTTCTTTTAGTTTTATGAGGCCACTCTTGTATGATTACATTAAGTTAACATGTTTAAATGATTATTATTAATGTGTTCTACAACATTATAGTCAAAATCTAGCATTGCTGAAATTCATTTTTTCTGTCAGTCATTCTCTGTTGAAACGATCACTTCCGACACGTACCTCTGAGACAATGAACATCCGAGTTAACAGCTTGCAGGGTTTAGACAAATTCCTGTACAACTTTAATATAATATCTTGTATTGTTGTGTCTGACAAGGGCCCCAATGGAAATAAGTTTGTTATATTTTAAAACTTTCTTGAGTTACCCTAGAAATTAATGTTGTTCTTAGTTATGTCTGTTCTTTGTTTTTGTTTAGTACTTAATAAATATTTTCTGATTTTAATTCCTAAATAAAATGAAGTCAAAGAATTAATTTTACAGTATATAATTTTTAAGTATTTATTTCTTCTTTATTATATCTATAAAAACATTTTTCATTGCCAATCTTAAAATTGTTATTTTAAACCACTTGGAGAAGTGATGAGTGAGGGAGGTATTAAAGGCGTTTTACTCAGGCCAGTTCATTGGTTAGCCTGGGCATCAGAAAAGATTTGAGTCGGTCACATTCGTATGAAAGAAGATAATAATAATAATAATAATAATATGCAATGAATCATGATAGTAACTTTGGTATTGAGTTACACTTCCACTGGTGGAAAATAATGATGATAATAAAACTTTCAAGAAAAACCTATTGTCCCCTTCGGGACAATATGTTAATTGTAGTATGGTTGTAGTTTAGTTAGCGAGTGTGGGAGGGCGAGTTTCAATAAGGAGCTTTCTATTGAACATAATGACATTACATAAAGTCATCTGCGCATGCGAGAACGTCGAGTCTTCGCATCGCATGGATTCTAGGTTATCAATTTGACCAAATCTATGTTGTGCAGAGAACATAGGATGGTCACATATAAATCCGTTCTAGTGTCCCGTCTGCGTGCAAACCAAAAGTTCTCTGGTTCATTTTTTCATTTGTCAGTAGGCAAAATATTAGACTTTTATACTGTAATCAATGATCTTCCATTTATTTTGATTACAGATTTATATGCATCTGAGACATTATACTTGCCCTGGGGAGCAGCGTTGGATCGTCCGAATCCTCTTCATCGTACCAATATATGCCTTTGAGTCATGGCTAAGTTTGCTGTTCTTTAGTAAGGATCATTATTATGTCTACTTCGGCACTATAAGAGACTGCTATGAAGGTGAGAATACTTCAATATATTTTTGCGAACATCATTTAGATTATTCATATGATGGGATTAAATGAATGGGAGTTATTTCACTCACTCTTACATAAAATCTTTAGCTCTAGTACAATCTGTCAGTTTCTGTTATCGCTACTCCATGTCTTAATCAAGTCAATCATTAAATTAATAAACCAGTACTACACATGGAAGGTATAGGTCTACCAATCAATTAATCTTTCAATATATCAATTGATTCTCTTTCACATACTCTGTAGTACTGTATATTTCCTTCAGGTGCTATTAATGCTATTCTCACCCAGTCAAATAGAATAATCTATTTACCAATATTAAGAGAGCACTTTAATATAATGACTTTTTAATGATCGAACACTTATGAATAATAAAATAATAACTTTAATAATTTTAAGAAGAATACATAAATTTAATTGGGCAATGTTAGATTTTTTAGGTTGTACAGTTTGTCGTCACCTTTTTTTTAGCTGTTATTAATTATTGTATGTTCTTAATGTATTTTTTTGAATGGTCAAGTTTTAAATTCATTCTTGATGTTTTTGCCATACCAAGGAAAACAATTTTCATGAGATTTATATTTTAAATTCATGACGAATAAAGTGATCTTATGTCTTATATCTTATGTCTTAACATTATATTGAAGTTTTGGATTTTTGTGACAAGCAAAACCAGTCATTTATAGGAAAAATTCAAAATTGAGGTTTTGTATTTTTACATTTTGTGCGAATCCTTACTTAAAACAGTGTTTATTTGATTAAAATTGGTTGAATGTTAGAATATTTAATTCATTTGATATCAACCATGTAGGTTTTGAGAGAACAGCTTCCAAATATTCCAAAATCAATTGTTTGTTATTAAGATTTGTATTTTAAAATACTTTTAATATATTTTTTCAGTTAGATGATATTGTAGTGAATGATATTTTTCAGAAACATTCTTCTGTATACTGTATCTTCTTTTATAAAATGCAAAAAAACCTGAAAATGTTCAAAATTTTGATTCTTGTACATTTTGGGTGTTTGTGCAAAATTAGAAATTGCGACAAAACGGCGTGTTATGCCAGGGCTAGTCACATTTTTCCAGTCCCAGGGTCGTATTTTCAAATCCTGTTAATATTGTTTTCTCAAAACTTACAATTTCATTCCCTAAACCTAAACCTTAAAATCATTACACCATTATGCCTTTATCCACTACTAAATATAACCCGCCTTATTTATAGTTTTTATCTGCCTTTGTTGTTATCTTTTTTTCGCTTAAGCTGTTGTTGTCATTTACAATATGTTGTGATTATTTTACATGCCATTGATTGCTATTTTCTCTTTCAGCATTTGTAATATACAACTTTCTAAGTCTTTGTTATGAGTATCTCGGTGGCGAGAGCACTATTATGGCAGAAATACGTGGCAAACAAATAACGTAAGTAGATTTTTTTGTTAAACCAGCCAGCTTCCTATCCTGGTAACTGTTATAAGTCCTTGGTTTAAGCAAAGAGCATGAAAAGTTGAAATTCTGATTAAGGCATGTATTCATATCTGTAACAATGAACCACTCTCATGTTTTGATATAACACCACTGCAACCTGTGCCAACATTTTTTCTCATGTGATTTTTTTTTGGGAGGTTTCCAAGTAATGTGATCACTATCTAATTTTTATGTCCTAATAGTTACAATAACACTTGTTTATGCTTCGCTAAGCGGAACTCGTCAGTATTAATAATGATATGCAATTAATTAGTATCCGCATGTAGCGTCCATTCCGGATCTGTATATATGGCGAGAGAGTACTGGAGTTGCTGTGATGCATGGCAGTTAAGCTTCCTTAGCTGAGTCCAGCAGTGCTTAAGTCTCTGGTGGGTCAGAAGAGCTCAATTAGCAAGGAGCTAACTACATTTATGACTTTCTTAAACCTAAATCCACAACACAACTTCTCAGGTCATCTAGTAAGCAGCTTCTTGAACAAAGGAAATGGATTCTGAAATATTTTGGAAAAAGTTCATTTTCATATGCTGCCCTATATTATGGAATGCCTTACCCACTGACATCCATTTATCTTCAAGTATTTTTCTTTTTAAGAAAAGGTTAAAAGTGTACCTTTTTCAATCTCCTGCTATAGTAGGTGATTGACATTTTAATGTACTAGTGTAAATAATTTTTCTTTCACAATTTCAGGAGTTTAATTTTTCATGTGCACTTTGAGTAATGCCAACATCATCAGAACTTAAATGATCTTCCAATCTCCATATTTTCAATCAATGTCTTCATGTAAATTTTTGAATTTATCCCTTGTCATCCCCGAAACTTTGAAATACCGGGTTGGTGTCCGGCGGGGGATAGTTTCACTGGTAGTTGGGATATTATGTTTTTGTTGTTTTCTTTAATTCATTTTGTTTTGAATAATTTTTTCTCCCCTAATTATGTATGGCCTTGATGAAAAACACCCATGGGTGTTTCAAGTGTCTCCGTATAAATAAAGTATATTATTTTTTATTAGCGCCACTGAACATTGCATCTGCCTTGGATACTGGCAGTTTAAAAATTGCTGTTGATTGATTAATTGATACTAAAGCATATAAATGATTAATTATATATTACTTGATGTTCTTTTTTAATGCAAGGAAATAAATAATAATAATAATAATAATAATGTGTGGAAGGAAATAAGTGGAAACTGAATTTTCATCTTTGTTTTTTGGAATTTAAAAACTAAGTTTATCCTATAAAATATGTTATTCAATGATCTATCAATTTAATTTTTGAAGGAATTTTCCATATTTCCTGACAGATGTTGTATCATTAAGAGAACAAACAAATATGAAACAGAATATGAATGAAACAAAATCTGTGTATAGGTAGGCTTGCCATCATGTTACAATTCAGTATTTTAAATCTGCAGTTATCTAGTTACAGTGTCCTTACAATACTACCACAAATGTTTGCTTCTGTCCTGTTTAGCTCCGGATTAGGAGCTCTAGAAACAGTCGGCTGATTGATTAATAGACATTTTTTTTAGCTCTACTGCATCAAATGTTTGCCTCTATTACACTGCCCTCATGAGGCTGATTGATATATCTTTTTTAGCTCTACTGCCTCTATTATACTGCCCGCATGAGGAGCTCTAGAAACACACGTGGCTGATTAATCAATAGTTGATTGATTAATAGATTTTTTTTAGCTCTTGCCCTCATCAGAGCTTTCGAGATTACGAGAACTTGTTTTTAAAATCTGTAATTTGTGTATTTCTGCATTCTACCATGATGAGTTCACAGAGTTTTTGAGTGCGGAAAAATTGGTTCTCAATTGCAATTAAAACAATGTTTGACGATACATAATAAGGCATGAATTGCTCGAGGAAAAAATTACATTTAAGAGCGCATAAATGGCTCGAGGAGGTCCTCACAGGTGTTTGCATTAATGAAGCAGAAAATAACACCACAGGTTGAATATATGCACTTACTTAATTGAGGTTGAATGCGGTTGTTTACATAATGACAAATAGAGATGATGAAGCTGTAAAGAGAGACAGAGCTTTCCTTTGTTTCACTGTCCTATCTATATCTTCACTTTCCTCAAATTATCTTTCCTTCCAACTCTTTTCTCTCTTTATTTCTCCTTTCCTCTCCTTCTCTATATCTCTTTTTTCTCTCTTGGTCTTCATACCTTTCTACCTACACTCGCTCTACCTTTCTTTCTTTATTTCTCTCACACTTCCATTTTTTCGCAGGGATTGAACAAAATTTACACCAATACATTTATATTTTGCATGGTTAAACAGAAAAGTAAATAATTGTCACATTTTTTTTTTTTTTTTTTTTATATTTATTTATTAAAAGTTATTAGTTTTCGACTGAAAATTAGAATGAATAATTAAAATTCTCATATCAATATAGTAACAGTTCCATATTCTTTTGCATTTGTCCTTAAATTGACCAGTAATTAATTTTAAGGAATTTGGTTGTAAAAACAAATTTTAAAATCTATATTTCACTGAAAATTACTATTAATGAGCAACTAAAATGATTTATTG